CATACTTCCACATTGAATCCAATTTTGTTACCTGCTACTCTTAGCTACATAGCTGACTGTGCTTCCTAATTTACTGTCATCCACTCATTTGGATATGAAGCTCTCTCTCTCTCTCTCTCCATTTTTCATTCAAGTCAATAACATCACAGAATCCTAGAATATAGAAGGAGTTTGATCTGTCCATTGTTTTTGCCTGTTCTTTTAAAGAGCTTCCCATTTAGTTCAAGCGTCTACTTTTCGCATACAACCCTAAAAGTTACTCCTTTACAAGTACTTCTTCAATTTCCTTTTGAAAGTTGCACTTGAATCTTCTTTCAGTTTGTGCATTGGAGATCATTGTCTTTAAAATAATTTCATTTCCCCTCACCCTCCATTGGATTATTTGCTGGTTATATGAAATATGTGCCCTGGGGTTACTGGGGTCAGTGAAATCACTTCGTCACCATCAAAGCCCTTCATAGAAAACCTCCCCTCAATTTTCTCTTGTTCTAAAAATATCAGCTCCTCTCATCTCTTCACATTACTGAAGTCACTCTTCCCTTTTGCTTTTCTGGTGAAAATCCTTTCCTTCCTCTTCTGGGGCCTTCACTCTTCCTAACGTGTAATGCTCAGAATTGGACATGATACTCCAGCTGAGGCCAAACCAATCATTTACATGTTGTGTACATTTATAAAGAGAAACTGAGACACCAACACAGATCCCTGGGGAACATTGTGTTTCATCCCACAATTTAAAGCATTTATCTTTACACTCTGTCTCCTATACCACAACCAGTTAGAATCCAGAATCCAGATCAAGTCAGCTGCTTTCAATCCCTTCATGTCTGTTAGCCTGCCTTTCAAATATTTGGTATGTGCTTTCCCCATATTTCCAAGTCCACTTCTAAAAGTCTTAGTTCAAAACTTGAAGCCCAGATCCTGGAATTATTCTTAATCAAAATCACACAAATTTCCAAAAGTAGCCTCATTGCTGATTTATACAACCCTAAAATAAATTATTTCACTTTAGAATTTAAAATCGCTGATAGGAACTTCGGTCCTCACCGAGACTCATCGTTAACGGTTTCAAATTGAGAAGAGAATGTCTGACATAATCACGCTCAATCCCATTTCCTGTTTGCCTTTACTAATTGATACCCTTTGATCATACATGTGTTTGCCTATTCTTTTCCCGTATGCATTACCTCAAAATCCATCTGGCATTCCTTGTGTTAACTTGCTAATCAACCTGAGAGCTTCTACCATTTTTCATATCACAGTTTAAACTCTGGGTAACAACTCCTGTGATGTGCTAAAAGAAAAATCCTAGGTCACTGAAGTACAAAACTTCTCCCAACACTATCAAGTCAAACTTGCATAAAAAAAACAGAGAACTTGTACTCGCATCTGCTGTGAAAGATCGAGATTTTTCCTTATATTTCTAAGACTGAAATTTAATTTACTATTTGATAAATGAGCAGGACCTTCAACATCTGAGGACCTTGCACTGTTTGAATAATCTTCAAAGTTTGATTTTAGGTTAACCTCTTATGTAATACTTCATAAACATCACAACGGGCATTCAGGTATATTTTTACATTGATGTATGAGGACGGATGCAGAATATATTTTGTGGAAGTTGAATGCCACTAATTTAAAACACAATGCAATCAAGCTCATCTTAATGTTTGTAATTTGTAAAGTTTAAAATTCAAAACGTCTACTCAATGAAATGTTACACTCTGCACAGCAATTCAATCCACACTAGTTATGCCAAGCAAGTTTTACCAAATAAATTCTCAGCAGATAGCCCTATAGTTCACTCATGTTCATTTGTTTTTATTCTTTGATTTGTTGTATGTATCACTGGAAAAACCATTTGTTGCCATGTCAAATTGTCCTTGAACAGAGTGTCTTCCCCCATGTCAGGGGGCAGTTAAAAGTCAACCACGTTGTTGTGGGTCTCAAGTCACATGAAGGTCAGACGAGGTAAGGATGGCAGATTTCCCTCCCTAAAGGACATCAGTGAGCCAGATAGGATTTTACAACAATTGACAACAGTTGTCATGGTTATCACCGCCTAGTTGAGCTTTTTACATACTATCCATAAAAATGTATATATATATTTTATATAACATATTATAATGTAAGAACAGATAATAGCTCTCAAATAATTTGCATTTATCCCATCAATAATATTGTCTGGAAGACAAAATAAAATCTGGATATTTGGAAATCTGTGAGAACCCAAACAAAAAGTATTTAGTTCTGAAGAAGGGTAACTGGACCCAAAATGTTAACTTTACTCTCCCTCCACAGATGCTGCCAGACCTGCTGAGTTTCTCCAGAAATTTCTGTTTTCAAATTTCCAGTATCTGCAGTTCTTTTTTATATATTAAAAAATGCTAAGGATGGCTAAATTGCTGTGAAACCTTGTGATCGATCGCTGGTACAAAGGACATTGGAACAATATTTTCGGGAAAGTTTATGTAGCTAGCTGTGTAAATGTAAAGTCACTACAATCACAGAACACCATGGGCTGATCTCGCATTTAGAGACAGACAGCTAGTGGTGAGTTTAACCTGAGGGCGAAGGTGAGAAGGCAGGATCTCCATGGTAACCTCAGTTGGTACAGGAATTCAACCTGTGCTGTAGGCATCATTCTGCATTGCAATCTACCCAAAAGAGCTAACCAACCCCGTGTATCTAGCATATGACTGGGGTAGCAAGAGTTTTACCAAGGAAATTTGCATGGAACTGACTTATGATGGTTTTCACTGAAATATTACTGCCTTTACAATCCCTAAGTTCTGGAACCTGCAATCTCTTCCGAATTTTTATAATCCAGATCTGCACTACGCCTAAGCAGCATCAGCATCAGACCAACCTAGATCTGTGGGAACTCTCTCTGTCATGTGTTCTAAAGGCCTATTTGGATAGAATGGTCTTTTGAATGGGAAAACTGTTGATCCATGTAATAACAGAGGTAGAAGGGGAGTGTAGACGCAAGTGATTCTAACAGCGAGGCAGCACAGCAAAAGTCAACAATCTATTGGTTATTACTCATATCGGTGGCATTTTTCGCATTTATGCATTAGCCAATAAGCTCCACACTAAATTCCTCATGGTAAGTTTGGCACAGAATGGTTTAAATTTCAGCACAAATTCTGCAAAACTACAATTCAGGGCCACATCTAATCAGAGACATAACATTGATCTTGTACAGAGAAGCATGCAGAACACCTGAATTATCCATAATAATAATGGCCTCAATCTGCATCAGTTGCCAATCAAATTAGCCTAGAACCTTGCTGCCAATAAAATGTCCAACCTGGATCCTGAATGAAGCCAGTGATGAACATCTGGCAGTTAAGACCAGGCAGTCAAAGAAAGTAGGCAGTACTGATGTGGCCCAGATTATTCTGAATGGATTTTGCACAGTTCTGGACCAGGCTCAAATGTGACTTCGAAGTGTGCAAGGAAACACAAGATCTGGCTTGAGGTTACAGCAAGCAGGCTTGTTCATGAAAGGTTGTGAGTAGGGATAACTGGAGAGCGGGAGACAAGAATGTCCCTGTATCTAACTTCCAAAGAGTCTTCAGAACTGCACTTGGTTTGATTCATTCCTAATATGAGTGGAACCAATGAAGTTGCTCTTGCAGAGAGTCAACATGGGCTGAACAAGCAGAATGGCCTCTTTTTTGCCATATTCATTCTATGATTCAATTCAGTTGGATGAGACACAATAACACTAAATAATGGAATGTCTGCAGAGAGTTTTGGCTTATCGCCAAGTTTTCAATAAAGTATAGAGCTGAGCACTGCCATCTCAATGCATGGCCAACTAACAGTAAACAATTCACATACAATCTATATTTCTTCCAATTAATATTTTCATGCGCGCAAACAAAATGTGAAGGTTCTTGAAATGAAGGAAACTTGAAGCTATCTTTGTTAAGTTAACAGCAAAAAGGTTTGAGAGAGTGAGAGAGAGGGGAGCCTCTGTAAGGTCTCAGGGATGGAAAACTGCATTCAGCATGCAAAACAGAGACCAACTAATGATTCCAAATATGAATATAGGAACAGCAGGGGACCATTCAATCCTCAAGCCAGATCCACTGACTGTGGACTTCTTCTCCAATTAGAGTCTTAAATAGTGACTGGGAAAAATTTAACAGCCGGCAGAGGGAGGTTATCCCATGTTCAGTCTGAATACAAATATAGCATTCTTTGAGTCAATGAATCAAACTGCACAGAAAATTGTCATGTAGCCCATTGTGTCTGCGTCCTTTAAAAGCACTATCTAGTTATTCCACGTGCCCGCTCTTTCCCCATTACTCTGCAAAAATCCTCTTCATGGATATATTCAATTCCCTTTTGCAAAATGCTACAGAATCTGTTTCCCACATCCTTTCTAGCAGGATATTCCAAAATGGTAACACAGTGTGGAGCTGGAGGAACACAGAAGGCCAGGCAGCATCAGAGGAGCAGGAAAGCTGACGTTTCGGGAATGTGTTGCCTGGTCTCAGGCAGAAGGTAAATCTTCGCACAGAGATTTGCAAAACCGTGGTATGTACTTCCAGGGTGAGTGATTCAGAAAGAAACTGCAGCAAAGTTCAAGATTAGATTGAATGGGTGGATGGAGTGGTTGAAGAAGGTAAGGGAAAAGATAGTAAGTGTGATTGTTTGGATGGTGGGTAGACACTGACACAAAGTTATCAGGCTGAATAGCCTGCTTTTATGTTTTAACTTCTATGTATTTAACTGCACACTTAGCACCAAGACCTATTGATATTTTTGTAACCCTGCTTGGCATAACGGGGTGAGAAATTTCACTTCAATCATGCTAGCCCTCTTTACCAAGCTTTTTTTTCCTCAGAGTTTTCTTAACTATGATTTGGCGCATTAATTTGATAAAATTACATCTTCAGAAATCCTGATGTTGATCAAAAAACACAGTGAAGAGGGCACAAATGACAAAGATGCAGAGAAGCAAGGTCCTTTTATTAAAAAAAACTCACTCGACGTTTCTGCTCTTCCTCCTCCTGGATCTTAACCTGCAGTTTCCGTGCCATCACCTGCCTCTTCCACTCTGGGATCGGGGTTCCCTGTTCGTCATGAGTTGGTATGACAGACTCAACATCCAATGTCTGTGATGCTGCCATGCCATTTACAACTGGCTCAGTTGGACTACCAACCTGGCGCTTTGCGTGTTCAGGCTATCACGGAGCAAATGAAACAAAGAAACGTTTGATGACGTATTGATTTTCACACACTTCAGATGTGCAATGGTCAATATAACATCTTTCATCTCCGATATACTGTGTACCTACCGTTGTCCCAGAACTTGCATAGACCACAGTACATCCTTTACTCTGCACAGTTGGCTTCAGGTTTTTCCCAGCTTTGATCTCAGCCAGTAAGTCAGAGTTATCACTTGTAGGAGACATCATGTTGAAAGATTTTGTACCTGGGTGAAGCAGACATGACAAGTTAAGGATCAATGGAAGTCACTTTGGGAGCAATTTTACCAATAAATGTGTTCACAACAGGTTTCTGCTGGTTAGGAGCCCTGCAACTTTGGAAGCACTGCTATTTTATTTCTCTGCTTTTCTAATTTACAGCTCAATATTTTATTTCTTTTATTTTTCCCTAAGAATTTGTACTTACGAATCTGTGCATAGGTATCTTGGTACCTAAGATGGCACCATAAGTGGTGACTTGTAAACTTTTCACTGTACTCTTTTTTCTTTATTAATTCATGGGATGAGGGCATCACTGGCTAGGCAGCATTTGTTGCCCATCCCTAATTGACCAGAGGGCAGTTAACAGTCAACCACATTACTGTGGGTCTGGAATCACATGTAGACCAGACCAGGTAAGGATGGCCGTTTCCTTCCCTAAAGGGAATTGGTGAACCAATGGGTTTTTCCAACATACGAAAATGGATTCATGGTCATCATTAGATTCTTAATTCTAGATATTTATTGAATTCAAATTCTGCTGTGGCAGGATTTGAACACTGGCCCCCAGAACATTATCTGGATCTCTGTATTAACAGTCCAGTGACAATACCACTAGGCCATTGCTTCCCCCATGCCTCCCCCTCCTCACTCATGTGAGGACGTATGACAATAAAGCTAATCCAATTCAATTCAACTTCACATGGAAAGTGTTGGAGTCTCCGGGTTCCATGTTTGTAAATTCTATATTTTGGAATGCTGTGGAATGTGATTTATCAAGATGTAGATAATTAGACTAGGAATTATTTCTGGCATTGAAATAATGGGCAAATGGACTTCATCATTGCACTTCATCATTCCAAATATTGTTCAATAGGCATGGACCTTACCTACTGGTTGCCAATGCTGGAGGGGTAATAGGAGGCCACTTCAGATTGGGAGACACAGCGACAGGCATTTCCTTACAATCTTAAGAAATAGGACAATTTGTCCCTTGAGCCTGCCCTGCCATTCAATAAGATCATGGCCAATGGGTTTGCATTTCAAATTCCATATTTGATTCCCTTGCCTAACAAGAAACTATCTAACTCCGCCTTAAAAATATTCAATGACCATCTCCATTACTTTATGAGGGTTCAAAAGTCACAGAAACAAATCAATTTCTCTTCACCTCTGACCCAAAAAGGTGTCCCCAGATTTTGAAATGGTGCCCGCTAGTTTTGGACACACCTGAAAAGGAAACATCCTTTCCACAATCACCTTGCTGAAATCTTTCTGGACTTCATAGATTTCAAAGTCAGCTTCAAGAAAATCAAAGGGAGATTACCCCAAGATGGAAACAATCATTTCTACGTTGCTTTAATGTTTAAATTAAAAAGCAGTCTCAGCCACTGGCCCACTATTGTTGAGGGGGGGCCTCTAAACTTGCCTGGAGGGCTGATCTCCCAGCATACGCCCTGAAGCTGACTCCAGGGACCTAGTGATGGACTGAATATTCCAATCGGCATCCAATAGGCTTTTACAGACCATTAACTGAACAAACCTGGTATCCAGTGCTTGCGGATGGGTTGCCCTGTCATTATCACTCCCTCCATACCACTGGGAAAATGGCCAGGGGATGGATGGAACTGGGAAGTGACTTTTGTGTCCAACTCCTGAATGTCCCCATCAAGGGCTTTAAAAAAAACCCTTTATATTCTTTAAGTCAACCATATAGTAACACCCCCAATGTCATCTGTGAAAAGTAATTTAATGTAATATTAACTGACATTAAAATATCAAGTAGTACAGAAACATAAAAAACAGAAGCAGGAGTAGGCCATTCAGCCCTTCGAGCCTGCTCCACCATTCAATATGATCATGGCTGATCAACCAACTCAGTCCCCTGCTCACAGTTCTCCCCATAATCTTTGACCTTTTTCACCTTTAGAATTACACATAACTCTTTCTTGAAAAATATCATTAATGTTTCTGGAATCCTGAATTCCTTCCTTAACAGCAAGCAACCCCCATCTCTCCTTGAAACATGTCAACGGATTCTGAATGAAATACTTTCTTCTGGATAAAAACCGAAAGAACTACAGATGCTGTGATGTTAACTCTGATTTCTTTTCACAGATGCTGCCAGACCTGCTGAGCTTTTCCAGCAACTTCTGGTTTTGTTTCTACTTTCTTCTGGAGTTTGTTCTCCAAGTTGAGTACCCTGTGTGTTAATGATGCTACTTGATCACTAACTTTGTGAGTTTTATACTTGTGCCTGTTAGTTCGAGCTAAATATCTTGCTTATTTCCATCTTATCATTCGTTATTTAGAACGTCACTATCAGATTTTCCCAAAGTCCTCTTTTCTCCAGTGAAAATAAATTCTTTTGTTTTAGTTTGATTTTTCTTGGAACCAGAGGAACAGTAGATGACTAGAAAGGCAAGAAGGAAAGAAAATTCATGTGAGTTTATTTAAATCATGATATCAATGAGCTCTACTTTCTAAGGAGCTGCTGGAAAGAGTCGCAGCATTTTGGCAGCTTTACATCCAGGGACTTAATATTCTAAATCCTGGTGGAAACTGGTTCAATCCTTAAGAGTTTTATGTTAATCAGTGTCACGTCATGAGTAGACACAATGCCAAGCAGGTTCAATAGTTTAGTCAGTTAACACTGGACTCAGCAACAAGTATACAGCATTATAGAACCATTAAGTCAAAATTCTACTTCATTCACTGTATCTATATGCAACTTCACTTCGATAATGAAGGTGCTAATCGATTTAAATTATACAGCCAGTGCTAAAAAAAATTCATACAAGCATTTTAGTGTACCTATTCCAAATTGCCCACTATGCTATTCAACCCATTGAATTTTTTAGAAGCTGAGAAATGTCAATTTAAAGAACAAAATGCAAGCAAAATAGCATAGCCCAGCAATGGCCTTGTTTCAAAACCTCAGTCCAATTTAATGAAAGCTTATGAACATAAAGATTAAACAAAATCTTGCGGCAAAGAGAAGAAAACTTAAACAATTAATTCCTTCCAGATAGATTGCCCTTGGGGAGAAAGTCAGGTTTGAGACAAGGAGTCTTTTCATCTGAGCAACATGACAGAAGTTGAGAAATAGTTTGAAGAATATTTTAAATATCCTGTCTCTAGACATTAATGATATCATATCAGCTGACACGGAACCCTGTATCATATGTAAACTACGGTGAAAATAGTTTCTTGCTGAGGTGATGCAAATGGCTGTCGTTGGTGTAAAAAAGTTAATATATATCAAATACCTTGCTGTGAGATTGTGTTTTCAACTGTCAAGTTTATATCAAACAAAGGAACAAGTGAGAAGTACGGCACAGGAACGGGCCCTTCAGTCCTCCAAGCCTGCGCCGATCATTTTGCCCTGACTAAACTAAAAAACAAACATTCTACCCTTATTTGGTTCATATCCCTCTATTCCCTCCCTATTCGTGTAACCATTCAGATGCCTCTTAAATATTGCCAATATGCCACCTCTTCTGGCAGTGCATTCCAGGCTCCTACCATTCTGTGTGAAATACTATTCTCACACATTTTGCTGATTTCTGAAGAAGGGTCCCGTCAGCTTTCCGGTTCCTCTGATGCTGTCTGGCCTGCTGTGTTCCTCCAGCTCCACACTGTATTATCTCAGACTCCAGCATCAGCAGTTCTTACTATCTCCCTTAAACATCTGCCCTCTCACCTTGAACCTTTGCCCTCTTGTAACTGAGACTTCAACCTTGGGAAAAAGCCTTTGACTATCCATCCTATCTATGCCTCTCATAATTTTGTAGACCTCCATCAGGTCTCCCCTCAGCTGCCGTCTTTCCGTGAAAACAATCCTAGTGTTTTTAACCTTTCCTCATTGCCAATGCCCTTGAGACTGGACAACATCCTGGTGAACCTTCTCTGCACTCTCTCCAAAGCTTCCATGTCTTTCTGGTAGTGTGGTGACCAAAACTGCACACAATACTACAAATGCAGCCTAACAAGGGTTTTATATATTGCAACATGTTTTGCCAACTCTTGTACTCCATGCCCCGGCCGATGAAGGTAAGCATGTCATATGCCATCTGAGTCTCTTTGGCCACCTGTGTCGCCACTTTTAGGCAACTGTGGAACTGCACGCCCAGAGCCATCTGCATGTTAATGTTCCTAAGCATTCTGCCATTTACAGTATAATTCACACCTAAATTTGATCCTCCAGAGTACATCACCTCACATTTGTCTGGATTAAGCTCCATCTGCCATTTCTGTAGCCAAGTTGCCAATCTATCTATACCCTGTTGAATCCTTTCACAGTCATTGGCATTATCAGCAACTCCACCAATCTTCATGTCATCTGCAAACTTACTAATCAGACGCCCACATTTTCCTCCAGATCATTTTCATATACTACAAACAACAGAGGATCTAAGACTGATCCCTGTGGAACACCACTAGTTATCGGTTTCCATTCTGAAAAACACCCTTCCACCGCTACCCTCTGTCCTCTATGACCAAGCCAGTTTCGTATCCATCTAGTTTGTCCACATGGAATCCCATGTGATTTGAGTTTTTGTACCAATCTGCCATGTGGCCAAAGTGACAATTTTCCAGACTGACTCCGTTCTAGGTACTTCAGAATGTAAAAGAGGTGTCAGGAGAACCAAGCTTCTTCCACAATGACTGATATGCTAACCATCAGTGAATTAGGAGAAGTTATTAGGTGAAGTTTTATGGTCCAATCTATTGACAGTCAGTACTAACTGGAAGAGCCTGGAGCTGACAGCCTGGAGAAACACTAAGCTGCTGTGCAAACTGATGTGGACACCAGAAAGGTGCAAGCAAACAGGATATTTCATAAGGTAAACAAAGGTAACTTTTCCGTCATTGTTTACAGTTTTGCCCATCTGGATTCGGGGTCCTTATGTTTTTAGCATTGCTTTATAATAAACAAGCTAGGATTTAATCATTCTTTCCCACCCCCTTCCTCCATTAATCAGCTTGTTTAGCTGGCTAGCACTCT